ACTCTTCCCCTCCCTCTCTGTTATTTTTTTATACTATTTATGTTTTGGTTTCATTTGAGGACAACTGCTTATTTTTGTTGGGTGGGGTGAGATATTTGCATACCTACCTCTTGTGACTATTTTGTGAATATTAGCTCTGTTATGATGATGGTTTTATGAATATTGAGCTTATTGGTTTTAATATATATCTTGTTTGTTGAATTGTGTTGCGATGTTTTTAGCTTGTGGCCCATTGCTTTAATGTGAAAGCGGTTTTTGAACCAATTTTTAAATAAAATTGCCACCTCTTGTGTGTAATATTGCGGTTGTTCTTGTGCAAATTTGAGTGTCGGTTGTGATCAATACCGATGACTTGAATAGTTCTCTTAATTGAACGAAATGAATGTGCGGTACGATGAGGTAAACTAAGTTACATAGGCAATATGTGAACTTTTAGCATCTCGTTGTGACTAGCCGATTGTCGAATGAGTCTCTTGGAATGAACATTGCACGCTAGCTAGATACTGTGGAGTTTTGTTGATATTGGTACCAATGCCTTGTGTGGTGAGGTCGTCTTGAACATTGCATATGATGACACCTAGAACTTTCCCCGTTGGTCCGATTGAATGAGTGAAGTGAACAATTGAAATGATCTTAGGCAAGAATTTTGAATAGTGAGCCAAATTTGACATTATACCTCTTTGTGGCCAACCTTGTGAGATGTGTGCACCTAGCTTGGCATCTTCTGAGCCTATCCTTTTCTTGGAAGAAACTTGAGCAACTTTGACCGCTTTTTCCATTACCTATAACCGTCATAAAGTATTGGTATGTTTGAATAGCCAACTAACTTAGGCTTTTTGTGGTGGAATAAAAGGAAAGTCAAAAAGTGTGAAAAATTCCCCCTTTATTGGACTGTTTTGAAAAATATAGAACCCCTCCATATAAAAAAAGAAGAAAAGAAGAAAGAAAAGAAAAATAGCAAGAATTGTGAAATAAAGTGTGTGAACATAGTGAAAAATGGGGTATCCGGTAATTCATTTCTAGTGTAATAATGGGGAGGAGTTGAAACATGTGTGAATGTGAAAGAAAAGGAGAAAAGAGTGATTTCCAAGCCATACTTCATGAATGTGGAAGTCACTAAGCCTAAATGACCATACCTTTGGACTCAGCCCCATTACAAGCCTTAAAAGACCTTTGTGATCTTTAGTAAGCTAAAACGAATGTTGATTGGAAAATAAGGGCAAGCCTATGGGTGAAGTCATTCATGTGTTTGTCTTTTTGAGTGTGAGAGTTGTGTACGATTCTGGGACTATAAATTGTTGAAGAATTTTTTGTGAATGTGAAATCAGTTTTATTGTGAGGGCATTTGAGTACCTTTGTTGAGCTTGAACTTGCATTTGAAGCATGTATTGTGAACTTGAGAATCTTTGATGATGGTGAGTCATAACTTAAATCTTTGAGTGCACAATTGATCCTTGCAATAGTATGTTGAGTCTTGTTGTGTGCATTCATGATTGAGTCTTGTGTGGCACTGCTTGAGACATCCTTTTTTGAACTGATGAACCTGCGTTTTACTTGAGGACAAACAAATGTTCAAGTTAGGGGTGTTGATTAGTCCACGATTTGGACTCATTTAGGGCT